GCACAGAAACAGTACTATATAACATTTTAGACACATTCTAGACAGTTTATCAGCTAAAAAATAATTTTGGGGTAAGTTACTCTTTAAAGGGGAAGTCTTCAAAGATTAGTCATAAATGCACATCCAATTAATACTTTCCACACATCTTTAAAWTTTATCTAGGGGTTCTTCTTGATTTTTTTTTCTAACAGAGCCAGCCACAAAAACCCTGGCAAAAACATTATTGTGCACCTTTTGGAAACGAGGAATAACAACTCATTTAACATTCACATCATCTATACTTGGTTTAATGATTTAACTACTGTGTGGTAGTGAACACCCAACTGATTTGTTGGCATTTGATGAAAGCTGAAGTTGTTGAATGTAGGTCACCCTGGTTGTTCCTCCAGTAGCAGCACTTTAGACAAAAGGTTGCCTGAGGTGTCTGATGGTTATTTATAGACTTCTGCTGTGCAAATTTATTCACCTGAGCTCTGATAAAACACTACTCCCAAAAAGCTAATGGGTGGAGCAGCTTGTAACCAAATGACCAGCCGCCCCTAGGACCTACTTCTATTTCTACTCTGCAGGGGATATTTCAGGCCTGGTAAAAATACTCCTGAGCCCAGCTGTTAGTGGTGCATTTGATTTGGGAGTATTTTTTTAGAGGCAATTCCAACAGGATTAGGCTACTAGTTTTGTAACATAAAACTTTAAGCAGGCTGAACTTTGCTTCTCTAGCATGAATAGGGCAATAAAATGAGCCAAGCAGACAGTGGCACAGGATATGAAACCACACACTCACGTCATGCAACAGTTTACCACAATGATGACAAAAACCCTGGTAAATTATCGCACGAACCAGCTTGCACGAAGCGTCGCTCTAAAAGTTTTAACAGTCTGTTTTTAGGCGCAGTTAACCTACCCAAAACGATGAATTCTCTTCTTACTCCGGTTTTATGTTCCAGCTTCTCCAGCTGGTCTGTCACAAAGTTCTTTTCATGGAGCAGTGTCACGAAACGCTCTTTCAGGTGACTCATTTTCGGGTTTTCTTCAGCCTGTCGACCAAATAAACACAGGACACACAAAACAAATGTTACAAGTACCCGCACTCGACGAACTTAAAGCATAAAATAGTTATTTCGGCAACCACAGACTGGTACTTAATAAAAAAAATATAAATAAAACAAAACTAACCCGACGAGCTTTCCGCTGGACGTTGGCTCCACTACAAATTAGTGACGCAAGGGGCGGAGCTTGAATGGTGCCCGCTGACCAATCAGAGAACTCCTCTGAGTCACGCTGCTGCTGCTGATTTGATCAAACGGTGTCTGCAGCTGAACAAGGCAGATAAGAAGAAACACGTCGGGCTCCAGTTTAACACCATCACAGTAATCATTTAATGCAGGTAGCTAGATTAGAAAAAAGGGATTTGTTAAACAAAAAGCACCACAACACTTTTATTTATAAAGCACTTTAAACAGCACAAGGCCAACCAAAGTGCTGTACAGCAAAAGTAGACCTCGTAGGATGAAAAACGTGGACAAATCCAAAATGTCAAAACAGTCATAAACTCTGAAATATTTCCCTCAGTTGGACAAAAAAGATCTACACTATGTGTCAAAGTCAAGGCATGTGGGCCAGAAACAACTCTTGTTTTTATCTAAACTGCTTGTTTCTCTGAACATGTTTCAGTTCTCATCAAGCTTTAAAAATGAGCAAGAATGAGCATGGTTAGTGTAAACTTCTAACTGATATTATACCAACTCTGAAACAGAGAAAAATAAAAAACAGAATGTTTCGTTATAGCTGGATTAATGCAGAATCTGTTTGGTTAATTTGTTYGTTCAAACAGGACAGAACTGTTGGTTCTGTTTAATCACAAAGATAAAATTAAATTTAATTTAAAAAGAATATTCTTACTTGTTCCATAAAGGATCATGTTCTTGCGTTTACAAAWTTTTTCTGAATTTTTGCTGGGTCAAACTTAAATGGTTTGTGTAACATTCAAACCATATTCATGATTTTATTTTCTGTATGGATTTAAAATGTCAAGGGCGATCCGAGTTATTTCCTTGTAAATGTATCCAGTAGTTTGTTGCTATATGTTTTCTTCTCAAACCAAGAGGTGTTTCTCTCATTTCTACCTCATGTGCTGTTGATGGTGTTGTTTTGAATRCTCTGGGGTGCAGCTGTGGCAGGTGAACTGAGGAGAAAATGTTTGATGGTAGAAAGGAAAGCACTAAACTGAACAGGAATAGAGCCGAATAAAGCTCAAAGTAAAATTGCGAAACGCTGAAAAAACACAGGTCATGATTTTATCAGCCTTGAACCTTTTYTGACTGTAACATGTGACTCATTGAATACTTGAAATTAATAGAAGTTTAGATTTATTTTTATCTGTATTTGGGAGCAGGGGGCTGTTTGATAATTGTCTTGGTTGAAATGGCAGGGGGTGTTTGATGGTCCTCCAGGGCTGATACCCTGCATGTGTTACTTGTTTCTCTGCTCCAACACACCTGCTTGAATTACCTCTTCAAGTTCTGAAGAAGCCTGTTAATCACCCAGTAAATCAGATGTTGTAGAAACCTAAAACATGCAGGGCAGTGGTCATACAGGACCAGGATTGGACAGCAGCTGGTCAGACACATCAAAGGTTGTTATTAATATGGACTGTCAGTAGAGGGCAGTCTGCATCCACATATAAAAGCAAAGTTATTCAAGGAACTGAATGTTTTTAAACTTGTACAGCAAAAAAAGCTAAAAAGCAGTCTTTGAATTCCTTATAAATAAATATTCATCTCAGAGGGGGTGAGGCCTTTTAAAACTGCACCACCCTGAGTATCATTTGAATGCATCAGAGTTTTAATCCTTCAGTTAAACAGTTATTTTAAAAGTAACCATTGCTCCCCCACTGGTTCCCCTTGGTGGCG